ATCTTTGGTTGGGTACTCGCCACAGACCTATGATGTCACTGGCTGAAAATATAATTTGAGTATCACTCTTTTGACCCCCATTTCAGATGCTAACCATATCCCGATCAATCATACCTCATACTTTCTAGGTTTTTGAATTAGGTTATTCAAACTTTATGGAAACCTCGGATAAAAAGGCGTATGCATTCTCAAGAAGAATTTCAACACTACTTTCTTTGGTGTTAGATGATATATTTAGTTGATATATATATAACTCCTCGATATTGGTCTCTGTCAGGAATCATTGAACACTTAAGCCTTGAGGTCTTTTCTTGGTTCATAGGTGTTTCATAATGGAAGAGTAATTGGTTTTGATTGATGAATTAAGACTCTATAATTGGTGATGTTGGTTGCCAGTACTGTGGCATTGGTGGACTCACAAGATTATCACTCCAAGATGATTATAGTAAAATGTGGAGATAAGAAAAATGTACATTAAATCTCTTGTATGGTGACTATATATGTTGGATAATCTTGATTTGGATTGTATATGATTGGATTATTGTATTGGACCTTTGGCTGACCAAAAATAATAGGAGATATCAAACTACAAAATTTTTATGACCCACTTATTCATTCTTCCTTCTAGGTTTGGTTTGAGGAGTATTTGTTTGATAAGATAGTCGGTCCTCACCATAATGGTATGTACGTGGAAATAATTCCTTAGCTTTTTGGATGTTATATCTAGTGTCAAAGAGATATTTTCTACCCTCTGATTTAAAACTTCTAGTCCTTGTAACACATTCCAGATGAAATAGACCGACTCTTGGAAAAAGTTGCTTTTCTTACCAAAATGGCTCATATAGCTTCAGGGGACGCTAAGAGGTACACAAGAGGGGTTTACCCTTCTCTTGGGCATACTAGGACAAGTGGTTGTGACAACATGTCTTTAAGTTTTGTAAATGTTGTGTCACACTCACGAGTCAACTCGAACTCCGTTCCTTGCATTCGTAGTTTGTAAAACAGAAGCGAGTGACATGCTATTATAGAGATAACTTGAGACAAGGCTACTGATATACCATTCAGTTTGGGACTCCCTTCTTGGTTTTTGGGGCTTCTATGTTTACTATCACTTGGAATTTAACTGGGTTCACTTATATCCTTCTTTATGTGAGATAATACCATAAAAACTTCCCCGACCATACTCCTAAGGTGCATTTTTTATATTTCAGCCACATCACGTATTTACTCACTTCCCCTAATACGGATTCCAGGTGGAAAGGGTGCCCTTGTTGCTCCTTAAACTTGACAATTATGTCGTTCATGTTAACCTCTAACATATATCTTATCTAATTGTTGAATACCTTATTCATTATATGTTGATAAGTTGCCTTGACATTTTTAAGGCAGAAGGATATGGCCTTGTAGAAAAAGTTCCCTTCGTCAGTCATGGAGGCTGTCTCCCTTTGGTCAAGTGATTCCATATCAATTTTTACTTCGAGTATGCATCCATAAAGGGTAAAATTTTAAACCCAAGCAAGTTGTCGAAGACTTTGTATATGTTGAGTAAGAGTTTTTCGGGCATGTCCTATTCAGGTTTGAGTAATTAACATGTATGCGCCATTTACGACTTTTTTTATTCAAAAACAACAATGGAGAACAAGTTGTATATCTTGCTTCCTTTATGAATCTAGATTAATGGAGGTTATCCACTACCTTTCTCATGGCTTCAATTTTATTCTGGTGATTGCTTTTTCCTGTGTTGCGCCATGTAATATGCATCTTCTCTAAGGGCCAATGTATGTCATGCCGCTTATGGGCTAAGGCCAGGCATCTATCTTGTCGACCATCTGAACAATTCATGGTTTTTTATAAAGACTCCGTCAGAGCCTTACGTAATGTCTCTGGTAGACCGATCTCTATCTTGATTGTTTTTTATGTGTCCCATTTATGTAACTGGTAGCAAAATCTTCTATTAGTTTAGATCTTTCCACTTTCTTCCCGAACTTTAGTGGTATGACCTCATCGTCTTTTTGAGACTAATCTAAATTTTTTTAGCTTCTTGAGAATCTAGTTATAACGCTTACTCATCTTCTTCACCCAAATCTTAAAAATATTCAATGTTTGTTTTCGTCACGATGAGAGTTAAGAAACAAGCCCAGACGATGTTAAGTTGGCCTTCAGCACTATAAATTGGTCTTCTAGAGAGTGGAATTTGAACCTTTCGATGTAAAGTTTAAGAAATTGCCCCTAAAATTGTCAAAGAAAGTCGTATGAGAATAAAGTTAACTATAAAGTCACATTTTACAACAAAAAATGTTATTCCAATTTTTTTCATCTAATAGTCGATCCCAAATGTCATAGGAAGTTCTACGTACAGTTTACAATAAAAATCAGAATTCAACCTATCTAGAGACAAACTATTCCTACAAAACCAACTTGAAATGATCCATCATTTAAACAACATCCTTAATTCCACCATTAAGTAGGACTTCATTCCTACAAAGCCACATCGACCAACAAACAAACAACCACCATTAATCACTTAATGTTATTTTTTGAACCTTCCTTGCAAAAAAGCATGTAATTTTCTACACTTGAGCCATTCCAATCTATATACATAAACCTGTTTCCATAAGGATCTTGCTTGGCACTTTCAATTTCCACAACTTAATATAGTTTGGCTTATATGTCTTGCACAACGGTGTATTTTTCCGCTAAAGAGCTACACAAATTGATTTTATCTTTTTAAAATATGAACATGTAACAGTTGAAACTACTAAAAAGAAAATATATTTGAAATAGTAATATTATTATTAAAATCAAATAAAGATATCTTTAAACATTACTCTCTCTTATTATTATTATAAATAAAAATTATCTTTTTAATTTTATTAAATAACAAATATACATAATCTTTTATATAAATCAAATACATTCATAATTCAATAAATTTAAAAACAGAATTTTTATTTATATAATAATCAGAAAAATTATAGTATAATTTATCATTTTTACTACCTCTAATTTAAGGCCACTATATCTACAGTACTGGACCGGACCTAACAATCACTGCAACTGCAGTAAGGAACAGAATCTACTGTCTTAAACCCCACGTGTGACCCTCACGTGCATAGCTGTCTTGTTTTCTGCTCATTAATGTGTATATTCAAAAATTTATAACAAAATTTAATAGACAATTTATTTATCTTGGTAAATAATCTAATTAGAATTTCAGACATTTTAAAAATAAATAAATTAAATATTGTATGTTCGAACTCACACTTTAAATATTCTTACATAGTTATTAATAGTACAGATTTAGCTAAAGTAATAAATTTATTAAAAATACTATCATAGAGAATAATTTATATAGGTGAAAAATAAGAACGAAACATTATACGAATGAAACATTACAATTAAAAATACAATTTGTGTTAAAATCAAACCTAACATACGTATAGATTGTTGACAAAATTAGTGAAATGTTTATTTTAATTTAAATGCATGTTATAGTTTGACAAAACTTAAGGAATATAAAAAGCATGCTTAATCACGCTCCATTTAAAAATCATAACATTAATTAGTATTTGACCCGTAAGAATTTGTTCTCTTTAGTGACGGATTTTCCTTTTCTTTCTTTACGTTTAATTAACTATAACTATAATGGAAGACGCAAAACGGTTTTAGGTTAATTGATTAATCAAAACCTGATTAGCACTAATCAAAACATTTCTGGTTAATTATAGAAAATTTCTAACTGATAAGTAATTGAGTGTACTTATGAAAAGAGTTTCAATTAAAATGGAATCAATTTAAAGAACTAAATTCAGACAAAAATAAAAACACAAGTTTTATTTTAAATATTCAATAAAATTTTACAATACTTATCAAGTATTGGAAATTGATATTTTAAACTTGAAAAAAATTCTCCTTTATGTATTAAAAAATATAAACAAAATAAAATGAATTATTCTACACCTATCTTACAGTTATTGAAAAAAGTAAAATACTAGAAAGCTTGATAATTTACAATAAATATCTCATCTCATAAAAATTTCCATTTAACTATAACGACAAAAATTAATATAAAAACAATTAAATTGTACACTCTTCTACAAAATTTTGTAGTCACACATCAATGTTAATTTTTTTAGAAAACAAATATTATCATAATTTTGTTCTACTTAAAAAATTATCATCTTCATTTATATTTGCGTGTAGAGAATATTCAGTTTTTACTTTAAAAAAATATCAACTTGTGTTAATTCATAATTAGCAATAAGGCATAGATTCATCACTATTCATGCTACTTTAAACACAATGAGAAAAATAATATATGACAATCATGCATAAGCATAAACTAGTACATACATATATACACATAAAAATGAGCTTAATGACTAAGCCAATAGTATAAAGTAGTTGACATTGATGTTCAATAAGAATTTAGCATCTTGCTATGCAATTATATTTTCTAAATATTTTAAAAAAAAAAAACTAATTGCTACATACTTTATTTTTAGTAGATGTAAATGTAATATTATTTAATGCCTACGTTTTTTTTTATCTTAAAGAAATTGACTTTATAATTTATACATGTCAACCTTCGATTTATTCCCTCCCTCTTTAAGTAAAGCAATGCACCACAATGTCATCCCAATTTAATTTAAGAAAAGGTTCTATTAGTATTAGTATTAATTAAAGAAAACGCATATTTTAAAGTTAAACTCAAACAGAAAAAGAACGCACACTTCAATTCAAATCTTCTATTTATACACCCAACACAACCCATCCTCATCTCAACCATTCTCTCACTACCTCCTCCATCCCCATTAACACAGAGAGTGCTCTTTAGGAGAGTATCTCTTTCTTTCTCCACTTCCATTTTTACACACACTATACAATACACAAAACCAAAATCAATCACACTACATTTTCATTCTTTCAACACAATTTTATTCTTCTGATTGATCCCTTATCGCTTCGATTCGTAATAGCAAAACATTAAATACAATAAGATGTGCGAATCAAAGATCAACGCTATAAAAGATCCATTGATTTCCACAATGGTACCATCCAAAAATGAAAGCAGAGAAATGATAATTACCGAAACAAAATCGCTTCTATCCTTGGCGTTACCAACCGCACTAACAGCTCTAATCTTCTACGCCCGTTCCATCGTATCAATGATGTTCCTCGGTAAACTCGGCGACGTGGAACTCGCATCAGGTTCATTAGCCATAGCTTTCGCAAACATAACAGGTTATTCAGTTCTCTCTGGTTTATCTTTAGGAATGGAACCGCTTTGTTCTCAAGCTTTCGGTGCTAACCGTCCAAAGCTTCTGTCACTCACACTTCAACGCTGTATAATTTTTCTCTTGCTTTGTTCCTTACCCATTTCTTTTCTATGGTTTGAAATGTCTAGAATCTTCCATTTTTTACAACAGGATGATAAAATCACCCAAATGTCACAGACTTATCTTCTTTTTCTCTTACCCGATCTTGTAACTAACTCTTTTTTACAACCAATCAGAATCTACCTTCGCGCTCAATCCGTCACCTTCCCTGTAACTTTAGCATCTCTGGTTGGAAGTTTGTTACATTTACCTTTTAATTTTTTACTTTTCAAAAGAGGAATTTCTGGAATTGCTATTGCTTCTGCTGCTTCGAACTTTTTGGTACTTATTGTTTTGGTAGTTTACCTTTGGATAAGTGGGGTCCACATATCCACGTGGAGTTCGCCGAGTTTTGAATGTTTTTCCGGCTGGGAGCCGTTGATTAAGCTAGCCGCGCCGAGCTGTGTTTCTGTTTGTTTGGAATGGTGGTGGTATGAGATTGTTATTGTTTTGTGTGGGTTTCTTGTGGACCCTACTGCCACTGTGGCTTCTATGGGGATTTTAATTCAAACGACGTCCTTGATTTACGTTTTTCCTTCGTCTCTTGGACTCGCGGTTTCGACGCGTGTGGGGAATGCGCTCGGAGCGAATCGTCCACATAATGCAAAGGTTTCGGCTGTGATCGCAGTGTTTTTTGCGGCGGTTATGGGGTTTACTGCCGTTGTTTTTGCGATGATGATGAGGCGGAAGTGGGGGAAGATGTTTACCGGAGACGAAGAGATTATACATTTGACGGCGGTGGCATTGCCGATTTTAGGTTTATGCGAGCTTGGAAACTGTCCGCAGACGGTTGGTTGCGGTGTAGTGAGGGGGACGGCGCGACCGAGAGTGGCAGCGAATGTAAATTTGAGCGCTTTTTATATGGTGGGAATGCCCGTGGCGGTTGGGCTTGCTTTTTGGTTTAGTTTTGGTTTTTGTGGGCTTTGGTTGGGCCTTTTGTCGGCCCAGGTTTGTTGTGCGGGCCTTATGTTGTATATTGTTGGGACAACGGATTGGGAACAACAGGCCCGTCGGGCTCAGTTATTGACGATGTTTGATGAATCGGACGTTCAGAAAGAGTCATTGATTAGTGATTTAGAAAGTGCTTGATGTTGAATTAATTTTAATGGTGTAATATTTTGATTTTTTTGTTTGTAATTTTTTTACATTGAAAGATAAATGTAAATTATCATTAAATTTTTTCAACTTTTTTTTGTTATATGGATGCATATGGGATATATGTGGTGATTGTGTTCTTTTTAACATTTATATATTCAAAGAAATTTAATTCAACTTTACATTAGTTTTTTCTTGAAGAGTTTATTTTATACTAGTTGTATTTAGATAATTTTTTCTACAATATTTATAGTCATAAGAATAATTTACAAGTACAAATATTTAGATATAATTTTAACGAATCTGCTCCAGCAGAGTAACCATCCATTTTTTTCTTCTTTCTACTCAAGAAAGAAACTTATATATATTTTTCTTTTGATTAAAGTCTCAAATTGAATACGAACCGAAACAATCTTCTTCAATAAAAATCTTTAATTTCATTCAAAGAATCTTCAAACTAAAAAAAAAGAGACAATGATCCATGAAGCTACTACCAATAAGTAAACTGTGTTAGCACATATAATTTCAATCAATCATAAAAAGAATGGCATACATAATTATATAAATAAGAATCAATTGAGTTGGAAAAAATGCACACATACTAATTTGTATTACATTAAAATTACAAAGGATTATATATAATACCTTGAGTGTTAAGCAACTTACTTAACCACTTTCTCTACTTTCTCAATTTACTTAACCATGTTCTGAACTTAGTTAACCCCCTTCCTAACTAATTAGTTATAGCTAATGACTCTTAACAAACTAGTTCCTATGGTTTGGAATTATTACAACACTCCCCCATAATTCTAAATATATACTAATCTTAGTTAATTTCTTAAGAACGCAAATCTATCAAGTTTTAAAACTTTGGTGAATCCATATGCTAATTGAAAATTTATTGGACATATTAAGATTTCAAGCATCCTTTTCATGATATGCTCCCTTATAAAGTGGAGTATGGTTTCAATATATTTGTTTCTCCCACGTGATATTGGATTCTCAGCTAAGTTAATAGTTGATTTATTATCGATCATTAGTTTAAGTGGTTTCTTCATATCACATTAAAGCTCCTTCAATAATGAACCAAACCAAATTGTTTGGGTCGAGGCAAAATTCAAATTATGTATTCTAGTTTACAAGATGACAATGTTGTGACTGAATGCTTCTTTGTGCACCAAAGATTAAAGCCACATTGAACATATAAATATAGTATGATGTACTCCTTATATTTATCCTATCTCCACACTAGTTAGAGTTTGGGTAACCTATGAGACATGATTCTTCTTGCTTCATTGTGGATGGGAACAATAAACTAAACTTCATGGTTCCTTCCAGGTAACTTAGGATTCTCTCAGCATCCACTATGTGTGACATCTTAAGTTTAATCATGAATCTACTGATTATGCTTTCTACATAGGCGTAACAGATAATAGGCTTGTTATTGCATGTATCTCAGTGATCCCACAATTTATTTGTACATTGTTTTCTCCATTGTGTCTTCCTCCTTCCATTCATCCAACTTTGTATTGGTTTCTAATGAATTTGTGATTGTGTTGCAGTTAGTCATATCAAACCTATATAGTAGCTCCATCACATATTTCATCCAATAACCTCATTGTTTCTAGCCTTGCCACAAGAGAAAAAACCTCACTATATTCAATTTCATGCTTCTACAGGAAGCCTCTAGCTACTATCTTTGCTTTACATTTTGAGATTGAGCCATTTGGGTTGAACTTTGTCTTGTACATCCATTTTACATCCGTAGGATTCTTTCTTTCTAGTAGAACATCCAATTACTAGCTATTTTCTTATTAATTGACCTTAGTTCCTCTATATGGCTTGTTTATATAGCTTAATCTTCATTGCTTCTTTATGAATAACTGGTTTGGTATCAACTAGTAGAGAAAAATGTATAAGGTCACTTTTATTGCTGAATGCACTATCAGAAAATAAACCATTATATTCAAAACTCCTTTGAACTTATCTTCTTTTCCATGGTCTACCCTGAGTTTGAGAATCTCTTGACTCATCTGCTTCAGTTTAAGTACCTTCAACATCAATTTATGCATTTAATCGTCCACTTTGAGTAGATTCTTCAAAGATATAACTGATGTCACTTCCGTTCTCCCTCGTGTCTTGTCCCTTTCATACTTCTGACTCATCAAATATCACATCTTTACTGATGTGAACTTTCTTGTCCACAGGGTTCTGAAATTTGTAAGCACATGTGGTGTGACATCCTATGAATACCATCTTATCACACTTGTCACCTTGTTTTCTTCTCCCTTGATCAAGTATGTCTTTGAGACATACTAAACCAAATAATTTCATATGCTTTACACTAGGATTTCTTCCATACCAAGCTTTTTTTATGTACTTTCATATGCAAATTATTCGTTGGACATATATTTAGATATAGGTAGTTGTGTTGACATCTTATTCCACAAACATATGAGGCATATCCTTATGCTTTAACATGTTTCTATCCATGTTAAGTATGATCACATTCATTCTTTCAGCAAGAACATTATGCTAAGCTGTATAAGGAGAGGTAAATTCATGCTTAATGCCTTCACTTGTGCAGAATGAGTCAAATTCCTTTGAAGTATATTCTCCACTGCCATCAGTAATCAAAATCTTTATAGATTTTCCACTATCCTTCTCAATAACTATTTTGAATATTTTAAGAGATTCGTTTTTTAACTTTATGGTATAAAACCATAACATTCATGTACGTTCATCTACAAAAGTGATGAAATACCCGCTTCTTTTTAATGAATCAACTTAAAAAGGACCACATATATCAAAGTGCACCATCTCAAATTCATCTTTTGATATTTTAGGTACTTCTCAAGCAAAAGCTAATATGTTTTGTTTGCCTCTTAAATTTTTTCATATTTCATAGTGCTTACACTCAACTTAGGCAAACCACTAACTAAATTCTTAAAGCTTAGTTCACTTAGGCTTCTAAAATTTAGGTTTCCATACCTCATGTGCCATATCCACTTTGGTTAATCAATACTAGTCATTCATACCTCTTTTACAGTATGAATACTACACTAGAATGTCATGTTCATGGATAATTTCGACTTCAAAATCAACTTCTTATTTTGATAATAAAAAAAGTTGGAGTGTATCACCTGTCACAATAATAGAAAAAACCCTGAATTGTCAATTATACTATGCTTATAAAATTACACATCATACTAGGTATATAATGTGTTGGACATGTGACTTCTTCTTACACAAGAGGGGGAGTGGGGTGTGAATTGCGTGGTTTAGAAAAAAGTGATTTTTAAAAACTTTGCGGATTAAAGTCAGAGTTTAAAAACATTTTAAATATTAAACATAAAAATATAAATTGATTAAATTAAAGAGTTTGTGGAAAAGAGACAACACCAGAATTATAGAGGTTCGGTCAACACAAAATAACCTATCCCCCCTTCCCAAGAATTTATCTTGAGAGTATTCAATAAATGTTGAGATCTTTTAGTAGGTAATACTCACGAACCCTCTTATACAAGGAAACTGGTTGACTTCCAACCAAACAATAAGACTGGGAATTTCGTAATTTAAGTCTTCTCTTCCAAATGGAGGATCGAAGCAGTTAGTCTCCTTTTCACATAGTATATCAAAGTGGTTAGTACTTTTTCTACTAGAATCTTGGAGCGGTTAGTCTTCAAGATTTTAAACAAAATTCGCAAGCATTTATCACAGGCTGAGCTCACAAACCGTAAACCTTAATTTTACACGGACTGACCAATAACTTATGAGATTTTAATATCAGGCTAATCTCAATGCTATAAATATTTTAATACCGACCATATATTAAAACTAATCTTGGTTTTATTAGGGTCTAACCAATAACCTAAAGAGATTTTAATACGAGCTTATCTCGAACCTAAACAAGGGTTTGAGCACACATTCCCTAAACCAAAGTTTTTTACGGGTTTAGCTTCTAACCCACAAATAATACCTAAATGGATAAAATTTAACCAAGGTGTAAAATAAAAATTCCCTTGGTGAACTTTACTATTCTACCTTTCCAGAATTACAGTTTATCCCCACTCATAAAAGGACTTTCTCGCAGAAGCACTTCGGCTAAAATATTAGTGAGAGAAAGTAAAATAAAATTTTAGAGAGAGATATAGTGATAGTGAGTTGTGTCAAAACATGGTTCTAGATGATTTGAAATGCGAGAAATGACATCTATTTATAGGATAAACATTAGCTCAAAAAGGACTTTGAATTTAATGCTTTTTAAGACATTATAATCGATTAGCACCTAATGCCAATCAATTAGATATTAAAAATATAATTGATTGCAAGTTCAAAATAAGAAATAAAATATATATAGTCGTTCTACATCATTAAAGTGTCGTCATAATCTCTTGGAGCTCAATTTTGAACTAAGCCAATCGATTGGCAAAGTCAAAACTTTTCCCAGAGCTATTCAGACAACTTCAAATTCACCTGGCACAACTCAAGACATTTTTGAATATATTTTCTTGATAAAAATCAGTTAAAAAAGATCTTTTAGTGTATGTGTGCTTCAACCATGTACTTTTACGAGAAGTCCCTTTTGCTTTACAGAGTATTCACTCATACTAATTTAGGTAGTACTTTCTTACACTTCAAGACTTTGTTTGATGCTTTCTTTTGTAGGAACTTGTTTGAGTTTACTTGATATGAGGCTTGAGTTATTTTCCATTTTATTTCCATCATTGGATAGTCAAGTCCATCAAACCCTAATACTTAGGTTTGTATCTTCCACTTAATGATTTATAATTGACTTGTCTGTAGACATTTTTATACCTCAATTTCCCCCCCTAAGATCTTCCATTATCTCATATTATAAATACATAGAGATCACACATTAGGGTTGGTTTTCCCTTCTACTTTATCCTATATTTAAGTTTAATCTTGAGGGATCACCAAGTACCTTGATTTATGTATCTTGTGCATGTGTTTTTAGGTGGATTAACATCTAA